TTTTTTTTTTTTTTTTCTTTTTCATTTCCTTCTGCCATCAGGGTCAAGAAGTTAAAAAACAAGAAGGGACAAACTTTTACATGTAAAGCAGACACCTCCTCTCTCCTCTCCTCTTCGTTGCTCCCCACGTTAGGAGCACTGGCTGATTCACTTAGGCTCAGATGTGTCACAGTGGCTGCTCTCAGCTCACTACTGGAGTTCATATGCTGAATTGCTGACCTGCTTTCCCTTCTTTTTCAAATGGGACCTGCTGGAATCTTTAAATATTCCAACTCCAGGGCCTTTAGAAGAGCGGATGTATCAAAAGAGCTCTGTAGGCAGCAATGGGTGAGACAAATTGGAAGAATTCGGATGCAAGGTCAGTTTATTTTTGGTGTGGCTCTAATTCTCCCTTGTGGACTGCATGTGCCGTTTGAGTTGTTCATTTTCAAAAGTCAAAGGACAGAATCCAGCAAGCCAGAGGAATCTTTCAATTAATTGCAGTGACAAGCGAGAGAGTCTGCTAATTGATGAGGGTTTTGATCATGAAAGTTATCCTGCCCTGTCAGTAGAAATAGAGCATTCTTTCTTGCCCAGACTCTGCAGTGCTGCTTACTGGTCTGTAAAAAAATACGTGGTAGTTGGGTTTGTTTGATTTTATTTTTTTAGTACAAAGACACATCACATGGATTGGGTGAGTTTTGGTGTCCGCAGGTGCCTTTTATTGATTCTTCACCTTCATATCTAGGAGATGCAACAAAGTGTCTCCAAATAAAGCTGATGAGGTTTTCAAGTGTTAGGGTTGTGAATTACCTTGTGCACATTTATCGGCTGCTTTGTGTGCTTGAATCTACAGCCTTTGAAAAGGAGAGAGGACTTTTTGTTTATTTTTCATCCTTTTGTACAGCTCGCTTTTTGTTTTCTTTGTTTCTGCCTTTTTCCTGAGTGTTTAGCAGCACGTTGTTTGCTCACAAGGAAACCGTCAGGGCTTTAAAGGAACTGAGTCCAGCCCTTGGATCTAGCAGCATTCCTGGATCACTGCACTTTTTACCACAAGAGTTTGAAAGGCAAATTTGAAAGGAGGCACAACCTTGCCACTCCAGCACCTGGCATTCCCTTCCTGGTGGATGGAGGTCAGCCAGGAGAACTGGCATCCTGCTGCTTGCTGATGTCCCGTCAGGGCACGTGTGGGCACTGTTCCTATTGCAAATTGTCCCTGGAGAGAGGAAAACTGTCCTCTCTAGGGACATGCAGGACAGCAGTGGCACTGGATGGACAATGTCTTAAAGGCAGGTTGTTGAAACGAACCTAATGTTGATTACCTGTCCGTGCTCTTAGGGCTGGTTAGAAGCTGCTTGGTATCATCTCACCTGAACAGGTGAGGTCCCAGCAGTCACCTTTCTGTGCCTCTCAGGCAGAGCAAACCAGCTTAGAACTGCCTGTGCTCTTTGGCACTGCCTCTGAGCCCTGCTGCTTTTGGTGCGTACGGATTCTGATAGCACTGACACCAGATTGTTGTTCTTCTCCAAAGGCTCCAGAAAGAAAGAATTCAAAACCAAAAACTCCATCGGATGTGTTCAAGGGTTTTTGAGTTTGGGATAATGATGAGTTTGGGATCATTAAATCACAAGGGACTTGTAAAGGCACCTACTTGAGCCAAAACCCTGTGAGCCATCCCCCTCTCCAGACCTGGGTAGGACACGTGTGGGATAGAGGAGAGGCTCCAAAGGAGGTTACTTGAGCTGATGGTGAAGAGGAATGCAAAACAAACAAGAAAAACCACTGCCTTCTCTGCACTTTGACTGTTCTCTTAAGCCATACGGACTTTGCTTTAATTACTGAACTGACAACGAATTGTTTGCAGTCTGCATTTTTTGGTTTCTTAGGCAGATTTCACCTGTGTGACTTTCCATTTAGTTTTCTTTTTCTATGCATCAGATTACTTATTTTAAACCTCTTATTATACATACATGGGACACAAAGATGCTATTGCTGTTGGAGTGCTAAATGGGTTCATCCAACAGCTCAGAGAGGCAGTGCTATGGGAGTCTTTCAAGGACCACTGAGGGACTTATGGATACAGATTAGAACAAAATAGATCACATATTGAAGATCTTGCTCCAAAGGTGCGTGGGGTGAGTAGCTTCATATCTCCTGAATGTTGCTGGAACTAAACTGCTGTAAGGTGCAATCATTCCCTGGGACTGTTCCAATACCACATTGAGTAAAAAGGCAAGAAAACCACAGGGAACGAAGAAAATGGAATCTGTGGTCACAGTTGCACTGAAGGAAGACATGGGGAGCAGCACAATCTGTATAAAGCAAGAAGAAATGATCCCTTTTTTCTCAGTGCCATCTGCAACTGAAATGCTCGAGCTCTCTGGGGTCCTGCACGGCCCTTTTCTTCTGACTGCCACCAAAATAAAAGGTTAGGAGTGATGCCTGGAGGTCCTGCTGATCTGAGCAAAACCATCTCTGTTCCATTCCAGGTCATTATTACTCTCGATGTTGTTTTGTTTAGCAGTTGGCTTTTCTTACTTACGGGTTAATTTTATTTAGGCTTTCACTCAGTGTGGACATGCACTGCCCTGCTCACTCCTAAAATGAGAACAGGATATGAGTTCTCCTGCCCAGTTCACTTATAGCTACATGCATGATGCCTGTGCCTTCTTGCTCACATGCTGTATTGCAAAATGTGACAAATAGGTAGGTTTTATTTACTTCTGATACCAGGTAAATTGTTCCATCTAGAAGGAAACACTCCATCAGTTAGCAAGAAAGCTCTCTCTTATAGCTGTAATCTTTGGGAATTACAGCTTTGAAATACGACTTTTAAACATTAGCTGTCATTTTACAATAACTTCACCCATCAAATCCACTTCTGTTTCCTTCTTCTTGTTTAGAACCATCTTGAAAAATGAAGACTTATATGTAAAACTCCTTGTTAGGGCATTTGATTTGTATTTATTTATTTTCTCTGCCTTGTTTCTCAGGTCTCTGGGTGACTGTTATTAAAAAATAAAAGCAACGTTACGAAATGACCGAGGGAGACGTTTCAGGGAACAGCTTAACAGGAGCTCATTTTTCATGTGGCAGCCATGGGAATACCCCATTTCATGCAGAAGAGTGCCATGTCACACACGGTGTGTCCCCCAGCACAGGTTGCTCCCTCAGGTGGAATATTTTCCATTCCCACCTCTTAATCTCATTTTGGTGCATGGCTCGTGCTGCTGGGTGGGAGCAGCAGCGGTGAGAAGGGACAGGAGAGGGCACTCTTCTGCTTCCATAGGGGACAGCCTCTTCTTCCCCACCCTGGGAGTCAGCAGCTGGAAAATCCCTTGTGGGGAGAAGTGAGATCGTGTTGGTCAAAGGCTTTCATAGGCAACTGCTGAAGGAGTCACCCTGTGCCAAGTGATCCCAATATTAGAGGCAGTTAGCACTAAAAAAAAAAAGGGAGGGAAAAAGAGAGAGAGGAAAAAAAAAAACCCTAATCCATTAACCCCAAAGTAATTTTTTTTTCTCCTCATTTGGAATGCTAAAACCAGTGATGCTTTGCAGATGGACTGAGATCTCATTTCTTCTGCTTATATCCAAGCCTCTGCCAGAAGCTGCTGTAGCAATATTTTAGAATAAATATCCAAGCCTGTCTTGAAAGGGGGGATACATTTATTATCTTTGTCATTGCTCTCCTCAAGAAATCCATCGGGTCATCCAAAGATTATCCAATCTGCTCTCCAAAAAGGGAGGGTAGAAAGCAGTTCATGCAGACAGAGCACCGGTGTCTTCTCCCACTTGCAGTTTTCAGACTAAACAGGGCAATCCTTTTAGAGAAAGGATTTGTCAGGAAATTTTAAAATGGAAGAACAGTGACTTTTGGCAGGGCCACTATAAATCAGCCATCTTAGAAACCTGAGACATAAGAGAGAACGTGATCCCAAAACATCCTGTCTTTGGCAGTTTCCTTTATCAATAGTAGCCGAAAGGGCACAAGCAATGAGGGATTCTATTTGGAGAGCAAAAGCCATCACAGAACAACTGCTAGACAGGCAAGTTGTATTGCAGACCATGTCGTTCAATCTGGAGTTCCTGCTGTTTCTTAGGTCAGCATGGGTGGAGTCCGTACAGCATCGTGGCTTTAGGAGAGGTCATGTGGGGAGAGGTTTGTTGGAGCTTCCACAGAGGCCGCACGCATGACAACATGGTTGTACAGTTTTCACTGAAACCTTAAGGAAAGCCACTCTTCAATTAGGAGCACATAACCCCCAAGACTAAACATGTTGGATTGGGGTTGAGCCTCTAATGGCTTTACCTGACAGATCCCTTCATTTCCTCATATTTTTGTACTCCTTTTCTTCCCCCCCCTGCATCTCAGACCCAGCCCTCCCAGACAAAGTTGGCTTGCACTTTGTGAAGGTGTGAAGCTTGCCACCCACTGTAGTAGAGCCAGCACTGATAAGCACACGTGTGACACATGGGACAGGTGAGATGTGTTTGAACAAGAGGTGAGATTCCTTTGTGACTTGAGATTCAGGCATTGACTCAGAACTTTTATCTTCTCAAAGCTGCCACCTGCCCTTTTTAAATGGCCTTGGAGCCTCAAGACTTGACAGGAAAATCATTATTTCTGTTGATTACTGTTTGATCACTGTGCACTTTCCTGGGGCTTGAATCACTGGATATAGAGACTGGCACGAGGTCACAGAGCTTTATATCAAAGTGTTTTCCCATCGATGTCCAATTCTTTACATCTGGAAGGGACACCTTTCTGCTTGTCAGCAGACATGTCCTGCAGGTGGGACCTGGGATGTGGCATCCACGCTCCCTGGTGGTGATGCTGAGCCCATGGCAGCAGTAGCAGGTTGCTCTGCCACTCTTGGGATGGGA